CAAAGAAAATTAGCTGGGCATGGTGGTGGGCGCCTGTAGTGCCAGCTACTCAGGAGGCTGAGGCAGGAGAATGGCATGAACCCAGGAGGTGGAGGTTGCAGTGAGCCGAGATTGCGCCACTGCACTCCAGGCTGGGAAACAGAGCGAGACTCCATCTCAAAAAAAAAAAAAAGCTAAACATGGGTTATCTATTAAGTGCTTTACAAATGGCAACTCTTAATCCTCAGAACAACTCCATGCAAGAGACGTATTATCACCAATTTACAGAGGAGGAAACAGACATGAGAGAGTTCCATAGGTAGCAAAGGGGCAGATTAGTCTAGTTCCACGCTCCCAACCACAATGCCATACAGTTTGCTGAAACAGAATCTCTGGAAATGGGACACAGGAGTGGTCTGTATTTAGAAACATTTCTGGGGGCATTTTTGCGTACTGTTTATGAAATCTTGAGAACCGAAGTTTCACTGAATCTCCAGTTTGTTCTTTGAAGCTCAGGAAAACCTTAATATTTGCTCTACTACTTTTTTTTTAACATCTCCAAGTATCCATGTTTAAGTAAATGTATTAGTTTCAGACTATTCTTGGTAGTATTTTGTTAAACATAGGTAACAACTTACTGCACAGTTTGTCATTTCAAGAGGTAAAGCATATGACTGCACATGAAACCGGCTGGCATTGTCTAATATGTTGACAATAATTACCTAACAATTATTGACATTGTTACATCCTACTGTCAACAGGAATAACGTGTCTCTTTTTCCCTGTGTTTATGACTGGACACATTTGCCTACTGAGATCCATAAACAATAGTGAAATAAATCAATCCTATGGCCAGTGCAGTAGCATGCATGACTCCATGGTGGCAGTTTGCCTTGCTGGCTGAGAGGAGGTGGTACTCTGACACGTCTCGGCTCTGCACTCCTCAGCCTAGTAAAGATACGGCCTTTTGATGCATGGGATGTCCCAGAGAGCTCAGACATTATTGTCTGCCGACCTTTGTGGATGGTCTCAAGAACTTATGGGGTGGAAGGGAAATGAAGTCATAGAAGTATTTAAAAAAAAGAAAGAAAATAAATAAGTCCAGTTCTCATTTGAAAAATAGACACATGTTGAATATCCAAGGCCTTTAGATCACAGGAGATAACATTAAACAAACTCCTTTCTGTTAACAAGAAATTGTGTTTTACTGTCACAGATCTCCACCCAGATTGGCCCTTGAATTTGCATTATTCACACAGTGAGACTGGTTTCACCTGTTTGCAATTGTTTAACTATTAGTCATCAGTTCAGAGGTTGCTTAAGCTGATTTCGCCAGCAGTTTATCTTATATACATTTTATTTATTTATATATTTATATATTTTTGAGACAAGAGTCTCAATCTGTCGCCCAGGCTGGAGTGCAGTGGCACCATCTCGGGTCACTGTAACCTCCAGCTCCCAGGTTCAAGCAATTCTCCTGCCTCAGCCTCCCAAGTAGCTGGGATTACAGGTGTGCACCACCATGCCAGGCTAATTTTTTTTTTTTTTTTTTTGTACTTTTGTAGTAGAGACGGGGTTTCACCACATCAGCTAGTCTGGTCTCTAACTCCTGACCTCAGGTGATCTGCCTGCCTCGGCCTCCAAAAGTGCTGGGATAACAGGCATGAGCCACTGCACCTGGCCCTTATACACATTTAAAAATTACACATTAGAAATCAACAAAGGTGACACACCTGTTATATATTGTCAAAGGAGAAAAAAGATCTAAAAACAATTTGGAAGAGAAGTGAGGCCATTACACCAGGGAGAACTAACATCTTAGTCTTTTTTATGAAAAGAAAGAAAAATAAATATATGGGGTGGAGGATTTCTTATCAGGTTTAGAAACAAGAAAGAGAAAAGAAAGAAAGAAAGAAAGAAAAAGAAAGAAAGAAAGAAAGAAAGAAAGAAAGAAAGAAAGAGAAAGAAAGAAAGAAAGAAAGAAAGAAAGAAAGAAAGAAAGAAAGAAAGAAAGAAAGAAAGAGATACCCAATTAAGTTTTAATTTCAGATAAACAAGGAATAATTTCTTAGTATAAGTATGTCCCTTAGTATAAGTATATCCCTGAGATATACTTATGGTGAAAAATTATTTACTATTTATCTGAAATTCAAATTTAAGTGAGTGTCCTGTATTCTCTCTGGCAACCCTACTTAAGTAGTGCCTTTTTAATCTAAGTTTGAAAAAAATCCTTTTAGAAAACAGATGTCTTCAGGAAACTGGGTCATGGATTCAACAGCATAAATACTTGCCAATTACGTTGCACAGTGTCATGGGATTATATATTTATTAAATATAAATAAACTAGCAATAGTAGTGACTGAAACTTACTTTGATTTGAAAACCCATCCATTTTATTTATCTTTTTTTTTTTTTTGAGACAAAGTTTTGCTCTGTTTCCCAGGCTGGGGTGCCGTGAAGCAATCTCAGTTCACTGCAACTTCTACCTCCCTGACTCGTGCAATTCTCCTGCCTCAGCTTCCTGAGTAGCTGGGATTACAGGTGCCACCACCACACCTGCCTAATTTTTGTATTTTTAGTAGAGAGGGGGTTTCACCATGTCGGCCAGGCTGGTCTTGAACTCCTGACCTCAGGTGATCCAACACCTGAGATAAACTGACTGGGCTTCTGCTCCCTGCAACAAAAGGAGCCTGATTACTACAGCTCTGTACCTTCAGGTAAATAAAACAACTCAGATTCTCAAGTTGGAATCTTTACCATCCTGATTTGAGAAGCAATAAATAATCAAATCACCAGACAATATGTACTCACAGTTATCAAATGCTGCCTTTACAGAGCTATTAGTTGCCTTAGGGAAACAAGGCAAAAAGTCATTAAGTGGGTGAAATGTTTGCATTTCTGTTCACATCTGCTGCAAAGAGCTGACACTAGTTTAAAACCTATAGACTGGAAGCAAACTGCTTTCCAGTCTGAGTATTATGCGTTATTCAGCCATTAGCAACATTGTTTTTTCTTTTTTTTTTTAACTTTACAAGAGATTTAAATAAAACTTTCTTTACCCTGAGTGGATTTCACGTTTGGGTCAACACTGGCCTTTTATTACCTACATAGTCCTCAAAGAGCAGCAATTAATTTCAAGTGTCTGAGGAGGAAATGAGTTCTCACAATTATATTTTGAAAGTGTTTTTGAAATTATCCATGGTATATTAAGGGAGATTTATCTGCTGGCTAATGGAAATTTAAACCTAGCATTCAAGAGAGAGGTTAGGACTATAGGTATAGAGACTGGGAAGTCATTGGCATATAGGTGATAATTAAAGCTGGAGGTAATTAAAACAAGTGGGAAGGCGGATTGTGTACAGTGAAAAGACAAGAAGACAAAGGTTACTATCTAGGGACTTTTCCCCAAATCCACCGTCATCAGATTCACTTGTGGAACCTGTTGTTCTCAGGTCCTACCTTGGACCTATTGAGCCTAGAAGGTTGAGGCAAGGGAGACCCCAGGAGTCTGCATTTTGAAAAAGCATCCTAGGTGATCCTTATGCAACCCCACAGAGCCAAGGGTATATTTGCCTCAGTCAAAAAAAAAGGATATCAAAAAAAGAAACGTATGAGTTGCCTCCTGGATGGTGGCTGCTGTTGGTTAAAGCTACATCTGCACAACTATCAGTGGTTCCTGGCACACAGGACTCAAGAACTGCAATATTCTTGAGGCCACTGGGACCTCCAAACATCAGAAATTAGTTAAAAATACTTAAATGGAATTGGTTACAGCCTTGGTTCCTTGTCCCTGCACTGAACTCTCCCATCACCCTACTATGAACTACCTAGAGTATACAAGGATCATTTGTGAATTGCCATAGTGGATTCTTCTGGGGATTTCTTGGTAGGGTTTTTTCCTTGACTTAGTCACAGCAGTGGGTTGAAGGCAGAGGATCAGAGGTGGTGGCCAACTCAGAGGCTATGTAAAGTAAAAGAACATGACTCAACAATGAGTGATACATTGTCACTAAGTGCCCTGTGCCCAGCTTGGCCTTTGTACCAAGGCCTCCTCTGTGCCCTCTGCCAGTAGGTTGAGGAAGCCATAATCATACAGGCCAGAATTCAAGCACTATGAGAGATTTGGGAGTACTGGCAGGCCATAGACCTCTGAACCCAAAGTTACCTTTCTAGAGGTTGGTGAGGGGGATTGCACTGGCCATTGGCCACTGGGGCTGCCTGGAAGTTCCAGAATGTGGCCCCAGATGCACTCCAGGGGGTTGGGAAGGTATGCCCGGAGGGTTTATTTGAAGAGGGCAAGCTGTGTGCCACCAGAAAGAATAACTCTTACGCCTAACAGCTGCAACTGGCCTGGCACAGACCAGGAGGCAATGAGTCAGGTCAAACCAGTTCTAATAGTGCTTGCTTCCAGTGGTGCTTGGCAGTCAATCCTATAAGATGCTTTGATCTTTTTAACTGGTGACTATTTCGTAAAGAACTATTTTTATAATATATGGTATTTTTGCTTAAGTAATTTCATCTTCAGCTCACGATGAATTTGAAGAAGTGACTTTCCACAGAACTGGATGTTGCTCAGGAGTGACAGGTTGCTAACATGTAGGAGTGGGGTGGAGTTTCTTGGCATGGAGCATGTTTCTGTAGGGGATTGATTATGGGTAGCTGTGAAGATCCTAGAATTGCTATAAATGTATATGGGGTTATTTTGAAATAAAAATGCTTATAACTTGTTGTCAGCATTGAACAATTGGGGTTGTTAAGTGCAAGTTTACATCATTGGGATAAAATGTATATGTTCTCTCCCTTTACCCTCCCAAGGGAGCAGATGTAAATCTTACCTGAAGAGTAACTTGCACTTTCCTTCTGGAGGGCGGGGTAAGCAAGCCTTGGGCAGCTTTACTGTGAGCCTTGGTAATAGCTATTTCATATAGTGTGAGGGGCAGCTGCTTCAAACGGTTTTGCCTTCAGAGAAAAGCACCGGAGAGAGACAATAAAGCATAAAGTGGGTGTGTGTGCAAGCACGCTTACGAATGTAGCACGCATAAATGTTTATGCTTATTTCTCCTTGTTATACACACTCATTGTAAATATTTCCAAGATCATAGAAATATAAACCCATCTTCTACAGACAAGCAGGATTAACAGCTTAAATATTCTTGAAATTTTAGATACACAATCACATGGGTGATCAAGAAACTGCTCTCCATAAAAGGTTAGGGATCATACAAATCCCTGGGAAAACACATTTCCTGTGGGAGGGATGAGATAAATGCTTGTAATAAGATGTATTAACCATCCTCAGAGACAGATCCAAACAGGCAAAAATCAACAGCAAACTGGGACGCGACTGCTAGGGTAGCTAGACGTCACCCTTGTATGCACACCAGAAGCCAAGAGATTTACCGAGCTCCCAGATGCAGGCACATCCTTCCTTTCTTTAAATCCGATTTTCTTGCCATCTGTTCCTTTACTCCAGCCTTGGCTGTAAACAAAGTTTATGCACAGCGATGCGTTGTGTTGCCAGGCAGCTCTCCTCGCTCCTCTGCAGCAAAGTCAGTTCTGGAGTGAAATCTGTGGGCTTCATCATTATCCATTTTCTCTAATAATATAAATTGTGAGAGAATAGAAATTGGTCTTATAAATTGGATTTTCAACTTCATTTGGGGAACATGGTATGACACACACTGTCTGGTTTTGAAAATTCTGTAAGGAAACATCTAAATGAGTTGGGAGGATTTAAGTTGTAGAAAAGGATTTCCCTGGCCCTCAAGAACGGTAAGGACATTGTGAAGGGGGCAGTCTCAAGGGCCACAGTAAATCGGTCAAGGAGAAACTGACGCAGCAGCTGCAGTGCGAAGGCACTTGCTGCCTCCAAGGTTGCAATTTGACATGGGGCGGGGTACGCGGTGGGGTGGAGGCAGGAGGAGTGCAAGATGACTTAGAGATGTGTGTCTAGGAAGTGAGCTGGTGGCCCTGAGAATGTACTAGCAGCTGCGAGGAGGGATTAGCTGACCTTTGGCCTCAAGCTATATAATATTTATCATGCACTCTTCCTGGGAGAAGCTTAGAGCGGGACACATCTTTGAATGGATTCGGTTAATCCTTTTACTGTCCTATGAGTAATCAGAGAAGTAGAGAGAAGCAAACAGAAAAAAAAATTCCACACTTAAAGGGGTCACTGCCATGGCAAAGCAGAAAATAACATTCACTCTGCTAAGCAACAACAGGAAAAGTCAACCTTGTGATCCTTGCCCACCAATTCTCAGAGTCCAGGCAGTGGCAGAAGCGGGCAGAATTCCCTCAGAGTGTGCATTCTGATCACTGCAGGTAACTGTTCATTCAGTCCCCACCATGGTTGGGGAAAGGCACTTGCCTGTTTGGGGGAACCCATGGTAACGGGACAAGCTTTTGCCATTGCAGCTGGGACTGATGACATATAGGGATGATTAAGCAAAGAGGTGAATACATTGAGCATAATGAGAGTCACATTTCTTGCTGTCAGAAGGGAATTATAAATACTGAAAGGGGAATGGCTTGAACAAGCCCTGTGCTATTAGATTGGAGGAAGAGGAACCAATGTGAACTCATAGCTTTATGTAGACATTGACGTAGATGTTGACGTAGGCACCAATGTGTGCAGATGTTTATGTGTGTGTGCATATTCCCTGATCTGTGATTTTGCTTTCCTCAATTTCAGTTACCTGAGGTCAGCCTTGGTCCAAAAACATTACATGGACAATTCTGGAAATAAACAATTCATGAGTTTTAAATTGTGCGCCATCCTGCTCTGTCCTGCCTAGGATTTGAATCCTCCCTTTGTTCAACATACCCACGCTGTCTACGCTCTTGCCATTATTCACTTAGTAGCTGTGTTGGTTTTCAGATCAACTGTCGGGTCTCACAGTGCTTGTGTTGAAGTAACCCTCATTTTACTTAATAATAACCCCAAAGCACAAGAGTAGCAATGCTGGCAGTTCGGATATGCCAAAGAGAAGCTATAAAGTGCTTTTAAGTGAAAAGGTGAAAGTTCTCCTTAATAAGGAAAGAGAAAATTGTATGCTGAGATTGCTGAGATCCACAGTAAGAACGAATCTTCCATCTGTGAAATTGTGAAAAAGGAAAAAGAAACTGCTAGTTTTGCTATCACACCTCAAACTGCAAAAGTTACAGCCACGTTGTTTAGTTATGATGGAGAACGCATTACATTTGTGGATGGAGGACGCGGGCAGAAGTGCGTTCTAACAGCAATCGGGTTGGGTACTATTCACGGTTTCAGGCAACTACTGGGGGTTTGGAACCCATTTCCCACAGATAAGGAGGGACTACTGTATACACACAGAGATACATATACACATACATGTATATACTTATAAAATATGTAAATAGATATATACATATATATTTCCTAGTTCTGTGTGCTGTGAGGGCTGGAGGGAAAAACACCTGGTAGCGATGAGCACTCCTAGCTTGCAGGGCTTGGCTTCTAAATATTATTCTCCATTTAAAGGAACCAGGGTTCCTTAGAGAAACGGTTGACTCTAGGGCTGACGTACATAAAATGAAAGATGAGACAGGGACATCTTGTACTACAAAGTAAGGAAATGTCCAAAGCATGGTAGGGACATATCAAAAGGTCACAAGATCTGCCTTAAAAGAGTTCCCAATGGGCCGGGCGCAGTGCCTCACGCCTGTAATCCCAGCACTTTGGGAGGCCGAGGTAGGTGTATCACGAGGTCAGGAGTTTGAGAACAATCTGGCCAATATGGTGAAGCCCCATTTCTACTAAAAAATACAAAAATTAACTGGGCGTGGTGGTGCGCACCTGTAGTCCCAGCTTCTTGGGAGGCTGAGGCAGGAGAATCGCTTGAACCTGGGAGGCGGAGGTTGCAGTGAGCTGAGATTGCGCCACTGCACTCCAGCCTGGGTGACAGAGTGAGACTCTGTCTCAAAAAAAAAGAGCTCCCGATGGTCAAGTCTGGGCAATTTGAGTATCTGAACAAATGATAGTTACATATTTTTAACTCTTTGAATAAAATAGGATCTGTGAATCTACATTGATTTAAAAAAAATGCATAAATGGAGAAGAAAGGAAAGCTCTATCTGATAATAGAAGCCTTAAGGTGTCTCCTCATGAAATACTTAGGGATGACTCAGTGGAGATACCCATGAGACACCATCTTTACCAAAACCAGTGATAGGACAATTTGGCATAGTATGCCTCCTGATAGATGCACTGAGAAGAGCAAGGCATTGCTTCTGAGGTGCTCTTGCTACAAACTCATAAATCACGAGGAAACGTCAGACACATCCACCTTGCGGGACATTCTACAAAGTACGTACTTCAAAAAAATGTCAAGGTCGTGAAAGATAAAGAAAAACTGAGCAATTGTTTCAAAGTGAAGGAGATTAAAGGTAAATTATAACTATAAAAAACCTGTACCTGTACAAGATATTATTGCAACAACAGGGAAATTTGAATGGGGTCTGTGAATTATGTGGTAAAGTTGGATGAATGTTAATGTTCTGGTTTGTTCATTGTCAATGTTAATTGATGGTCTCAATGTGTAAGAAAATGTCCTTGTTTACAGGAAATACACACTGAAGGATTAAAGGGTAAGTAAGGGGGCGTCATGTCTGTGACTTTTTCTGTCAAGTGGTCCAGGAAAAAACAAAAACAACTTTAATGTTTGTGTGTGTTTATTAGAAAGAATAAGGTGGATGTGATTAAATGGTCACAATTGGTAATCTGGGTGAGCACTAGTGCTTGGAGTACTTGGAGCTCCAAGTACTATTTTTACAATTTTTCTATGACTTTTAAATTTTGAAAAAAAAAATTAGGCCGGGTGTGGTAGCTCACGCCTGTAATTCCAGCACTTTGGGAGGCCAGGGCGGGTGAATCACCTGAGGTCAGGAGTTCGAGACCACCCCGGCCAACAGGCTGGTTAGTGAAACCCCCTCTCTACTAAAAATACCAAAATTAGCTAGGCTTGGTGGTGGGCACCTGTAACCCCAGCTACTCAGGAGGCTGAGGCAGGAGAATTGCTTGAATCTGGGAGGTGGAGTTTGTAGTAAGCTGAGACAGTGCCATTGCAACTCCAGCCTGGGTGACAAGAGTGAAACTCCGTCTCAATAAATAAATAAATACATAAATAAAAAATAAATAAAAACAGAAAAAACTATCTACTATGAATCTCTATGTACACGGACCACGGTGAATCAAACTGAGCAGTTCAATTCAAATCAAGCCCAGTGATTACGAAGTAACAGTTAAGTTTAAGGTACTATGCTGCTTTACAAGACTCAATCCCTGCCCTCAGGTTACTCACAGAGGGTAACGAGAGCACAGTGAAACAGTGTAGGGTGGGAAATGGGATGGGAGTGCTAGAGAAATAACACCAATAGTAAAACTGCTACAGACATTCAAAGGAGCCAGAAATCTTCCTAGAGGAGGTGGTGCTTGCAGAGGTCCTGGATGGGATTTGGGCAAGATTGGTGGTTCTTTTCAGCAGAGAATCACAGGATTTAGGCATTTCTGAGACTTCTGTCTCTTTTTTCTTCTCCATCAGCATGCAGGCTGGTCTGTTTCTCACCTCCACACTCTTGCTCCTACTGCTGCTTCTGCCTGGAATGTGGGCAGTTAGTGAGATTGTAGGATCCATTGCATCCGTTTTTCAAGACTTAGCTCATGCCTTTTGCTCTGGATTTTCTGATAAGCTCACTCCCCTCCAGAAACAAAAGTCCTTTTCTCCCTTGTACCTCTACTGTTTTTAGTGCATGTATCGCTCCACACGTGGCTCTTTATGGCACTGGTCAGTTCATCCGTGCATCCCTCCCAGCCTGCAGTCTCCTTGTCGGCTTTGTATGTTTCTATCTCCAGTGTCTGGCCATAGTGGAGGCTCAAAAATTGTTAAAAATAATCAAATTAACCTAAGACTTCCCCAAACCATATTTCTTTCCTTTCTTTCCATTTTTACTCCTAGACTAACCAAAGGCTTCCTTCCTTCCCTCTTTCCCTCCTTCCTCTTTCCCTCCCTCCCTCCCTCCCTCCTTCCTTCCTTCCTCCTTTCTTCCTCCTTCCTTCCTCCTTCCCCCTTCCTTCCTTCTTTCCTTCCTTCCTTCCTTCCTTCCTTCCTTCCTTCTCTCCCTCTCTCCCTCCCTCCCTCTTTCTTTCTCTGTTTCTCTCTTTCTTTCTTTTCTTTCTTTCTTTCTTTTTTTTGAGATGGAGTCTTGCTCTGTTGCCCGGACTGGAGTATAGTGGCATGATTTCGGCTCACTGCAAACTCCGCCTCCCAGGTTCAAGCAATTCTCCTGCCTCAGCCTCCCAAGTAGCTGCAACTACAGGCGCCCACCACCATGCCCGGCTAATTTTTTGTATTTTTAGTCGAGATCGGTTTTTGCCATGTTGGCCAGTCTGGTCTCAAACTCCTGGCCCCAGGTGATCTGCCAGCCTTGGCCTCCCAAAGTGCTGGGATTACAGGCATAAGTCACAGCGCCCGGCCTCTAAAGGTTTTCTTTACTAAATAAAATTGAATAAAGTACATGGGCTTTTAAATTTCAAATAGTGTGAATCTAAATTTAGGGAAGAATATTTTCTTCTCT